TATCCCCGATCACTTAATCGGGGACGGTATGACGGATGAAGAATTCGACCAGATTTATTCTGGTAGAGGGGACGCGAATTCGACCAGAAACCGGCCGGTCCGGGAACCGGAACCGGTACCGGCCGACACGGTCACGGTGCCATGGGGTGGCGGTACCGAAACCGGCGGTTCCGGAACCAGAACCGTCCCGGAACCGTACCGTGTCCACCCCTAACTATGGCTAGTTTAAGGCCATTAACCAGACTCTTAAAAAGGCAATTAATAATAAGACACTTAAACTATCATAAGCTTAAGGCAATTTGATTTCGGACTCTAAACCCTAGTCAGTTAAGGCAACAACAATATAGCGATTGATCAACATCGGATTGGAGCATCCCAAACGAGTGATCCTCTAGTTTGGTCTACGAATTCCATTTATGCGTTTTTATACAATTCATCAAATATTCATGTTTTCATAAGTCCGTTCTAATACAAGATCTATTCTAGAGGTCTTATAGGTAGTCTTAACATCAATTAACTAAATGAGTATATTTTAGAGTTCTTCTAGATTTCCTTAACAATACAAATCGTTTCATAATTAACAATATATTCATTTTAGTCATGGTTTATTCTTCCATAATCATTTTAATCGGTAAGTTTATCATTCATAACAATCCATAACAATTATTTATTATAATCATCAATAAACACAACAATCGATAACAATTAGCGGCCTAGCTTCGAATGTTAACACCCGAACTTACCATCATGCATCATATAACATTTTTATTTGTTAAAAACATCATTTTTATTGTTAAAAATCATCTTTATAAGGATCATAATCAATTGGTATCAAAAATAGGATTTTAGAGCTCAAAAATAGCATTTTCAGACACCTTTTCATATCAGATTTTCGGGGGATCGATCTAGAGAGCTAGATCGATCCAAACTAGAAGAAACACTCCCAGTGGATCGATCCAGACCATATGATCGATCCAGGCAGTGAGTGTTGGGTCACTGTTCATCTTCTTCAACCTTCGGTCCATTTTTTGGAAATACCATTTTGAGTCACTGAACTTCCACGAAACTATATAGAGATATTCTCCAAGGTTCATAGATCATTTTGACATCAATAATTCATAGTTTTAACATCAATTTTATGGTTTATGATTTTTGGTTCTTTAAGCATGTCAAACACAAAACTTAACCAAACGAGCGTTTATGAATGTAGAAACGATCTATACGAACATTCTAGTCACTAGATATATCTACGGGCTTACCTCGAAGCTTATTGAAGGATTTGAGAATTTTCCGGCGGCAACCAAAAACACCATATTGCTCTCCTCACTCTTATGAACACAATGGTATAAATTTCCAGAAAATTGGTGAAGAATTGGAAAGGATTGAGTATCCTTATATAGGAGAAGAGAAGAGGAAGAGGAAAGTCTGCTGAGTCATTGCTACGTCCCTGAATCGCTTAGTGGAGGTGTCTGCGCCGATCAAATATTTCCACGACACCCTGATCGCTTAGTGTATTTAGTATAATTTAGTTTATTTTTAAGTTATTATTATTTGTTTTGGTTAGACCATAGGTGTCCCGGACTCGCTTTTGGTGAAATCCGACAAATCCTGGTGGGACATATTTTCGGTTTAAGGTCGAAAGTCTCTAAGCAGGTGATGGGGTTTGAACCCAACTGTGCAGCTACCTATACCCATTGGTTTTAAGTTATTATTTTATTATACAGATTTGTTATAAATTTTTTTATTTTAAACTAAATTTACTAATAGTCAAAATATGTAATAGTTTAATTAAAAAGTTCAAATTATATATTAAAAAAAGATTGGGACAGAAGGATATATATATATATATATATATATATATATATATATATATATATATATATATATATAACTTGCATGCTTGTTATGAAGTATTTTAGCACCTATTCAATATTCATTATTTTTGCTCTTCCTTATTTGGTTTCAACAAAACTTTTTTTTATTACTTCTTTATCTTTTAATCCGCTGTACATTCTCTATCTTAATTTCAACCACTCGTCCTTCCTTTATCAATTACTTTTAGTAAATTTACACTAAATACTACTAAAATATATGTCTTTCTCTCAATGTAATACCTAAAAAATTTTATTCCCAAAATAATACTTGAGCAATATCTAGTGGCAATTGACATTTACTTGAATAATGTCCAGTGGACATTGAACAGTGGTTATACATTGACGAAAAATTAAAATATATGGTACTACATTGAGAAATATATTATGTTTTAGTACTATATATATAATTGAAAAAAAAGTTTAAACATAAGAGTATATATATACCCTTACGTTTAAACTTTTTTTTCAATTTTAGTCACGTTACATCAAATTTATCTTAATCTCAGTGTTTTTCATTTATGCCCATAGTTCCGAGAAGGAGGGAGTATTAACTCTATTATACGGAGCATTGGAGCAATAAAGTTTGAAAAGATGACATTCTATACGCTCTATAGAGGTTGGAGTAAAAATATGATACGAGGAGTTTAGATTCATAGAGAAAGAAAACCACAATATGAACACATTCATTAATTTCCTTTGGTTTTAAAGTAGGACGACATAACTTGGAAACGAACGAAAAAAAAGAGAGAGAGAGAATAGAGACAGGCCATAAAATATATAACTTGAACACAATAATTAATTAATGGGTGGGCCAAGGGGCGATCTGGAGTAGTGTTGTTGTCTCCGACCAGCATACAAACTGCTACCGTCTAAGAAGAACCTTATTCCCGCCGTCGTAGCGTCTTCTTGCTTCTTGATCTTCGTCACTTGAATATGGTGAACCAAGCGGTGATCATGAAAACGTTGCCCCTGCTCTGCTTTCATCACCTCCGCCATATCGACAACGCCGCCATTATTATTACTTCTTTTCTCTTCCATATGTATCCTCCCTAGATAGCCTTTTGATGATGATGAACGATGGACGATTTGTGAATGTCAATCTCTATATATGAATCGGATAGGGCATGCATTAATTGTATACGTATGCGTGACCTTGTGGGTGGATTATTGTTTTAGGGAGGGAAGAGATTTGGTTTGGATTTTGTTCTGTTTAGAGGGGAAACAATGTATATAATTATATATACTGTATGTGATACTATATCTATATATGCAAGCACAGAAATTAGGAAATTATTCACTAAAGAAATTAGGAAAAATTATATAAAAAAATTTGGAAGCTAGATATCAGAAACGATGATGTCATCTACTGATCCACAAGGTTTTGATTTGGTATGCTAATAAATTGTTAAGTTGCCATTTACGTGAATATGCTCACGGGCGCAGCCGCCTCTCTTTTATATATATATATATATATATATATATATATATATATATATATATATATATATATATATATATATATATATATATATATATATATATATATAATCTCAACCCATTATAATGTAATATCGTTTTATACAATCTCAACCCATTTAGCATATAGAATTGTTGATTTCGCTAGGGATCAAACATGTGATGTGTCATATGGAAGAGTCACCATCATGCCCTAGATCATGAGATTTTTGGCTTTCAAACACAATATCTATTACTCCCTCCGTCCACAAATAAACTTTACGTTCACTATTCACAGGATCAAACTTTATTTACTTTGTTTGCCTATTTTCGTCACCCATTTGATAAAATAATATAGACATATCACCTCTAGTTTTGTAGATCTTTTGATATATTTTTTTAATATGTAATTTTTATTTTTCAATTCTACGCCATTTTTCATATAAAATGATTTGAAAATAACTTTAATCAAACATCGTAACGCGCAACGTAAAGTTTATTTTTGGACGGAGGAAGTATATAGTGCTAAACAACTAAAGTATTTGGTATGCTATAAACTTTAACGCAATGTTCTAAAAATGGACCACACATGGATTCGGACGAGATAGTGGATCAAGGATTGATCTGTCAAGCCTGTCAAATCAGGGGTCAACGACCCAGTCAAAGACGATGCTTTGAATAATAATATTTTATATTATATATTAGATATTCTTAATTTATTTTTTTATTTTTCCATATAATTTTTATTATCATTGTGGATATACTATTTCACACCTATTTTTTTATTCTATTATCTTTATTCTTATTCAAAAATAACAGTGAATGTCTAACAAACACATAAATAATTAGGCGATACTCATATTTTCAATAAGTAAATACTCCGTACTAGATAATGTATTCCTATATACAATTCACATTTTAAAATTTATATTTAGTTGATTATAATGATTGGAAAAATAAAAAAAATGTTAGCATATTAAATTATAATATTAAGAGTAAATTCCATAAAAGATCCCCAGTTATAGATCGTTTTACATATTTAGTCCCTAAATATCAAATATTACGTACTAATTTAGTCTCCAATTATTATATCATTTTTCACGAATGGTCCTTTGTTAATGTTTTTGTTAAGAACATGGATAAAATTATATATTCATACTTCTCTCTCTCCTCAATTAAACTTCTTCCATCCTCTCGTACTCTTTCCCAAACTTGTCGTTGAGTTTGAAGCTCTAAACCCAAAACTGAAATGATCATTTCTCTCTCAATTATTAGTCTTAGCTTCCTGGTGGAACCTAATATCAAAAACCAATAAACTTTATGGATAAGTTTTATCGGTTAGTCTCATAAAACTGCAAAGAAAATAAACATTAAAAGCTTCAATCTCAGCGACGGTTGTGGGAAATGTGTGAGAGGGGAGGAATGAAGCTTAATTGAGAAGAGAAAGGGATGTGAATTTACAATTTTATCCACGTTCTTAACGAAAATGTTAACAAAGGACCATTCGTGGAAATGAATATAATAATTGGGGACTAAATTAGTAATATTTGATACGTAGGAACTAAATATGTAAAACGACCTATAACTGGAGACATTTTATGGAATTTACTCTAATATTAATAAGAACAACAACAACAACACCAATACCGTCAACGATTAATTGCAGAGTAATAGTCATGACACATTTCATTAAAACATAAAAAAGAATACTTGCAATTTACTTGTAGTTTAATTAGTCGACTTTCATATCCACAACTTTCTCCCGCCATCAATCCATCCATAAAAAAAATCAGTGCTCAAACAAAATTAAAGCACATTCAATCAAGTTCACCGTACTCCATCTATCTATATCTGCAACGGCAAGAGAAACTTATGATATTATGCAGCTTGTTTAAAGGGAAAATTCCATTCCCAGAAAATAAAGCATTATGTGAAAGGAAAAGAAGAAGAAGAAGAAGAAGAAGAAGAAGAAGAAGCCGTACACTTACAAGGTCTCTGGAGGGAGGGGGGGGGGATTGATCCCAGATTTTGCTTCAAGCAATTGGCACCGTGACCCCCAAAAATAATGGACTTTTGGTGAGAGGGTTCCATAGTTATGGGATTGGATTTGTCAGCGGATCGTCCTTCAGACCAGTAAGCAGATCATAATTGATTGACGCAAGCTGAGAGAGGTTCTGGTAGATAAACAAACAAAAGAGAAGATATTTAAGCAGTTGCAAAAATAAATGTTACTGAAAAAGAATAAATCACAATAATCCGGAAGTCGATGTACTGAAAACTGTCATTATTTCTTTGATTTTACAATGTACCCTCACAAACACAACAGAAACATTGGAGTTAAGTAGCACAAGTTGACTGACCAAAGAATCATCATCATTATTATCAGCACCTTATTCCAACAAGTACGGGTCAGAAATGAATATCATAGTGCCAAGGTCGGTGGGTCACGTTGGTGGAGAGATATGGTAGCTAAGGTTTGATGGAATTTAGAATGGGGTAAGGATATCTGGATTGGCTAATAAGACACTTGGGCTGAACCATATTAAAAGATTGAATCCAACCAATTACTCAGTCTCACTCAAGAGCTTATATACCGATTCATTTTTTCTTCATGTTCCGATGTGGGGTACTTTCTTTAACAAGGTTGAAGGGTACAACAAGAAAGTCAACACGGTTTTCATCAGACTTAAATATGTGTGCCCAGTCAAACCGGCAAGATAAAAATGGACGGAGGGAGTACATAAAAACAGAATTCTAAGCCTCGCAAATGGCAGTAAGCTTGTTAGATGGAACAAAACACAAAGCCATCAAACTGGGATTGTACGTATGAATAACAACACCAACAACATTACCCCAATGCCTCAAAGGCTCCCGCTCGATGCAGGGTAAGGGGGGGGGGGTCGGATGTACGCAGCCTGAACCCTATGCTTAAAACATAGTTTGAGATGACACATGATAAACGTCAAAAGTGGCATTGATTAATTGCTATTTCACTATTAAAAGAAGTGCACACAGTTTAAAGAGCCATTTTGTTGTATTCCACCATACCCCAAAGCCAATAAAAAATAGTGAACATTTGGCTCCACCGGAGATGATGGAAAATTGTACGTAAGGATATTGTTGGTATATTTCCCAAAGGGGTTAAACGTATGGCGTAACAAAATACTCCCTGCGATGGATTTCTTAATATTGACAAGAAATTTAAAGCTAATCCACTTACTATGTGGAATTGTGGAGTACAACTTAAAACCACCAAAATTAGAGCAACAACAACAACCCAGTTGAATACCGCAACAGCAGGGTCTGCGGAGGGTGGTGTACGCAAACCTTACCCCTACTAAAAGTAGAGTGGCTGTTTCCAGGAGACCCCTGCTCAAGAGGCCGTGGAGTACAACATAAAACCCCTAAAATTAGATCATGATGAATTTTACATTTGACAAAGGAATTACCTTGAATGAGAAGTTACTGAAAGAATATCTGACAGGAGAACCCGACTCAGATTCTGCAAGGCCCTCGCATTCTTCACCCTGCTTCCCCTTTACCAAAATAAACCTCACTGAAGGCTGAAAAGAAGCTTTTAACATATCAAGAAACTAAGACACATTGCAAGACCAACCTACCAGTTCGTCATGACGGCTCAAGCAACTACCGCTACCACTTGTGCTACAATTATCACTTGAATAATCAATGTCACTGGTTTCTAGTACACGTTCATCTGAAGGATTCCAAGAGAAGCGACTACTGAAGTAACTGGTATCAAGGGCACTCTCCGAGGTAGGAACAAATGCAGCCTTCATATATACATGAATATGTTAATGTGTGTGTGTGTGTGAAAAAAGAGTTTTCAGGGTTGTGAATTTAAGATAAGAACAAGGTTTCATATTTGAAGAAGGGAATTTGCTTAGAGTTCAAACCAAATGGATGTTATACCTTCTGTCTTGCTAGTGTGTCCCAGTTAATATTCATGAAAAATGGATGTTTCTTCACCTACATCAGGAAGGAAATAGTTATTTTCCAATAAACCAAATGATTAGTGTGTACAAACTACGAAGGGAATATGTACCAACTCAATGACAATATAATGATTAAAGAAGCTATCACCTCAGTTGCTCCTTGGGCTCCAAGCCTTTGGTTAGGATCTTCTGTCAGTAAGCTGCATGGAAATAATGCCTGGGTTAAACTAAAAGTTAATAAGTGAAACACAACTACTAATCAACCTTGACCCTATGCCTAGATGAAGTTAGAACCCTAAGAAATACACTTATGTCCATGTTAAGAGGAATAAGAGGATACTGAAAGGAACCATCATATCAAGGGTATCAAAAGATAATGCTCCTCCATTTTAAAAACAAGTATATAACATCATGTACCCGTTATGTATTTCACTTATATTATACTGAGTATCAAGTTTTATCATTTATAGTTAAAGCGTCTCCAAACAATTTTTCCCCTACACTTTTAGTTTCAAAAGAGAAATTATTAATAACAGCATTTTTCTAAATTGTTTATACATAGGAGGTCATGCTCAAATGATGGAAGTGTTCCAGTCCACCTTGTACCGAAAACAAAAAACTTCTTATCGATAATCTGCATGTTATGGTGTAATTTCAAAGTTAACTATAACAGATCTCATTAAAACCAAAGGAATGAAACAAATAAAAACTAAGCCCTTACCGATCAATCAAGTCCTGTGCTTCAGCGCTCATTTCTTCGGGGACCAGGGGCCAAGGTATCTTACGATTAAGAATGTTATCAAATATTTCCTAAACAAAATGACACAGGAAAATGTTCAGCAACTTCTTAATGGTGCACAATACAAAATAATACTCCCTCCGTCCCAAATTATTTGTCCTAGTTTAACTTTTGAGCTAACTTTGACCATAAATTGTGAGAAAAGTATATTCAATTATAATGTAAATTTTATAAAATTGGGTTCTTTTAAGATGTAGTTTTGATATATCACATTTTTATAACTGCTATTTATTTAATGTTATATTTTATTTGTAGTCAAAGTTAGCATAAAAGTCAGACTAGGACAAATAATTTGGGACACAAGGAGTATTACTCTAAAAAGGAACTTTGTGTAATAAAGGGTAGTTATAAGAAACACATGCTGTTGTCCATTGAGCACTAGGAAAATCAATAATTGATATATAACATCTTTTGACTTGACTAGTGGTGAGAGATCATATATGAGAAAGCAAAAACTGAGTGTTCAGAACATAGACTATGGATCTAAGGGATGCATGGAGAATGAGATGACACAGCATTTGCAGTGATATAAGGAAAGAAAGCAACATGAAAGAATATGAAATCCTTGCCTGAGGATGCTCTGCATTGAATGGTGGAATGCCCACAATCAACTCAAAAAGAATAACACCCACAGACCACCAATCAGCTGTGAAACCTGGAATTGTTCAAATAGTATGGGGCAGTGAAAACCAGTTTTATAAGAAAGACCAGGAAAAAACATATGATCTTTTCTACAACAGCCATAAACACTAAATTTAATGGGCCAAAAAAAACAAAGATGTGATGATTATGACATGGATTACAGAATGCCTATGGCTTGTACGAGAACACATAGCAAGTACTATCTGTTTACGAACGATATATAGTTGTGGATTATATGCGAGGAAACATCAATGAGAAAATATTGTTGTTTCACTTTGTTTTCCACTGTGTTTGGTTTATGGAATTAGGAAGGAAATGAAATAAAAATAGTTCTCTCATTTTCCTCACCCAAATGGTAGGAACTTTGTTTTCCCTCTAAGTTCATTTTCTTTCTCATTTCCTTTTCCTTCAACTTTTCTTTTCTTTTTCTCTTTAACCAAACAAGAAAAATTATTTCCCATATCATTTCTTTTCCTTTCCTCTTCAAATTCCTTGAACCAAGCATAGTGTTCAGGAGAGCTGATGAGTAAACAATGATATACGGACCATGTCCTGTTCCTAGCAGGATCTCAGGAGCAAGATAATCTGGAGTGCCTACAGCAGAACGCTTTTTAGGCCTTTCATGCTGAGGCTCAGATGAAGATAGCTGAGATTCATCTTCATCCATTATGGATGTTCCACTGACTGCTGGACCAGATAGATCATCAGTGCTATTAATGAGACCCACTTTTGAAAGCCCAAAATCTGTCAGCTGAGCAATTTCAAACCAGTTAATTGTGATAGTAAGCATGGTAATAATAAACTGGTATTGAATGTTTAAGCATTATTATGTAAAGACCATGTAAGTTTTACAAAATAAAAATAAAAAAAGAATATAAGGGGTAGATGTAAGGTCTGCACACATTGCCCTTCCAAGCTCCAGAGTGGGATATATCGGGTATTTGGTTTACAAAGTATATTCTTCTCTCATTAATGCTTATACATAGCCTTAAGACTTATGGCAGGAAGCAAGAATCTTTAAAAAATTACTGTTTTAAAGAGAAAAAATATACGACCATACGGGACACAAAAAAATATGCAGACAAGGAACATGATTTTTTCTTCCCTCTTTTAATTGAAGAAAAAAAAGGGTGCATCTGACTTTGGCATCAATCCAATTATAGTCTAACTCAGGTGTTGACAACATTACAGCTCCGAGGCTATGGGGATAAAATTTGTGTTAGTTCCTTGTGATGCTCCACTAAGAGTTTTATCCCTTTTTGGCTTTTTTTGCAAAAGAATTGATTTTTCATTGTTTAGCTTTTAGCTATTTGGAGTACAGTAGAGGTTTAGCATCTTGTCCGTCATCCCGGTTGTTCCTATGTCATCCTGCTCTGAAGACACCGTCATGTTGTGGAAAAGATTCTTGCATTAACAGAAATTATGTTTCAATGAAGTTTGAGCTGGAGTTTTATGATATTGAAAAGAAGATACTTTCCAGAATAAAAAGAGTCTTAGTGTGTGTGCCAAGCCTTGCGATAAACATGAAACTTAGGAGTGAAGACCTGGACTCCTATTCTTACTCAAAGTGGTCTTCGAGGAATCTTACAAGAAGCCTGATAGGGTTTTACGCATACACATAAATAACAAGTCTCACGCCTCACGTTTACAGAGTTGATACACGAGAGAAGAGAGGCAGCTATATTGAGAAAAATCGTCTCAGTGAGATATGAGAGTTCATGCCTCACATATACGATCTTGGCATGAAGTTCGAAATCTAATTCTACCATGGATTCAAGAGGTTTGATGGAGACATAGATGCTTCACATGCAATCTATGATTTGAAAGCGATCCAGACGTTGAGTACACTACTCATCTGGAATAGAGCTGCGAGCACATCCTTGGAAAAGGTGCCGAAGGTGTAACATGCCATGTAGATAAGCTTAAAAAGGGTTTCAGTTTGAAGTCTAACTTAGTAAGATTTGTCATTACCTTAGAAGAGGCATTCTATTGTGCTGACCAGTGTAATCTTTATGAAAGTTTAGTGGAGGGTTCTTACATGGACGTGGGCCCCGCAGAGTAGAAGAATTTCTCCGAAATTGTGTAAACTCTGTGTGAATTGTTTATTGCTTTCATATTTTTATGCTCGTGTGTGTTACTGTGTAGATACTGTAGCACGTTGTCTGCCAATCATGTTGTACTACTACAGCATCATCATAGGACTTTGCTTGATTGATTTGGTTTGTCCACATTGTTTATTTTACTTAGGTACCCTCTGCACTCTGGATATTTTAGGTTTGACTTCAATGTTAATCCAATTCTGACATCAATCAGACAATTCTAAATTTAGGAGATACTCCCTCCGTCCCTGAGTATTTGTTCACATTTGACTTTTTCTGATCAAAATTGGTAAACTTTGACCTCAAATTAAATAAAAATGATATTAGATATTGATATAAAAATGGTTTTATTATATTTATTATATCAAATATTTTCAAAATGTTATTTTATTTAATTAATACTACCTTTGTCCCAGCGTATTTGTCCAGTTTGACTTTTCCGAGTCAAACTGGACAAACTTTAAACATCTATTACTCTCAATTTGTATTGCATATTAGTATGATGAAATACAATCTTGAAAATTCTTAGTAAGATAAATCTAATTAAATCATTTTTATACTAAAATACATTACAGTTTGAAAGTAATTGAAGCTCAAAGTTCATATTGTTTGACTCGAAACAGTCAAACTGGACAAATACATTGGGACGGAGGAAGTATACAATATATATTTTATTTAATTATAGGTCAAAGGTTGAAAGCAGTTCACCAAAAAAATTCAAAACTGGACATACTCGGGGATGGAGGTAGTATCATACATAGGCATGTCTGAACAGTCTTTCACAAACCAAGTAGAGTAGTAGCTTTGAGAAGGCACCACCCTCTAGAACGGCTAATTGTACTAGGAAGGTGGCTAGACCGCTAGAGAGGTGCAAGGGGTCTGTACAGCGTAACCGGAACAACCATATGGGACTGGTGGAAGAACGAAGAAGTCCACAAGAAAATGGAGGCCAAGAAGACAGCGAACATGAGTTTTGTGGAAGCTGTAGGAGGAGAAGAAGATTATGGACAGAATGTTTTAAGAATGCAAAGAAGAAAACTAAGGTAGTGATTACGGCAGTAAAAATTGCAGCCTCACAAGCATTTCGAAGTGAGATCACGAGAGAAAAGATTGTAGTGACTGACCAAGATAAGAGGGCGGAAGTCACATGATCTGACCAAATGAAATGCGTGGAGGACAAAGGCAGAGTACTGATGGAAGTTGCAGACATAAAATGAAGGTAGCAGTCTTACTTCCATAGACTCTTGCATAGTTGAGTGAGGAGGGCACAAGAGTATTGTGTTGAGTAACTTAGGGAGTTCCAAGACGTCGGCATTTCTGCTAGCGTAGGCCTATTATACTGAAGGCGGTGGAGTAGGTCACTACTTACTAGCAAGATGGTCAAATGAAATCCTAGTAGAATTTTGGAAGAATGCAGGTATGCACGCAGAGAAGGGGATGTGTGGTGACGGGGCTATTAAGTATTAAATATCTTTTTAAGACAACTAGCATGTCCGAGGAATGGAGGTGAAGTATGATGATTTTTTTGTGCTACAAGGGCGATATCCAGAACTACAACTGTAGTGGCATCGAAATACTCTGTCACACATTTAAGGTAATTGAGAAAAGGATGATGAAGAAGGTGACTATTTCTGAGAACCAAACCAACACAGGATCATGCTGGGGTGATCTAATACTGAGGTTATCCACTTTCTTGGAAGGTTGGTGGAGCAATGTAAGGATTGGAAGAGAGATTACCATATGGTGTTTATTGATATGGAAAAAGCGTAAGAAAAAGATCTTGGGGAGGTCTTATGGTGATGTGATACAGTTATTATTATTATTGATTACGAAGTATTATTTATTATTATTATTATTATTATTAACAGATGTATCAGTTTCCTATAATTACATAATAGTCATAGTTTCCCATTACTTGTGCTGCTTGAGCCGGGGTCTCTTGGAAACAACCTCTCTACTTTCAAGTAGGGGCAAGTTCTGCGTGCACACACGGCCTAGACCCTACTCTCGTGGGATACAACTGCGTTGTTGTTGTGGTTGTTGTTGTTGATTGTCATAGTTTCCTATTATTATTCTTATCCATCATCTCTGATGGAGCCAAAAATTCACCATTTTTTGGCTTTAGGGTGTGATGGAATAAAGCAAAATGGATCTCTAAACTGTCTGTGCTGCTTTAAGTAATGAAATAGCAGTTAGTCAATCAATGCAACTTTCAAAGCTAAGCTGATGGTCTCTTTGGAAACAGTCTCTCTACTTTGGAAAAGGGGTAAGGTCTTTGTACACGCACCCTCGCCAGACCCTACTCTTGTGGGATTCAATAGGGTTGTTGTTGTTGTTGTTGTATCCTATGTCATTTAATATTCTTGAAAGATTCTTTTACTTATGTTTCCTAGTATGATTATGGTGGGTCTCTTGTAAAAGGCTTTGCCTATTTATGTTTCAAAGCTTATTAATAGAATCATCAACTGGTTGAAGCCAAATCTTTAATTATGAGAAGTTAGTCACAGACTACTCTCTCCTCCTTCCAGCCATATACAAGAAAGGTTGGAGTGCGTGTGCAGCGTATCTTGAAGCAATTAAAATGTGTACCATGGAGCCAAGATTAGACTAGGAATGGTTGGAGGAGACTTATAACACTACCTAGTTGAGATGTGATTGAACAAAGAGCCTGCTTTATGTCTCTTTTTCCTGCCTTGGTGATGGACAGATAAAGATACCCAAGGGAAGTACCTTGATGCATGCTCTTGCAGACTGTACTCATCGACAAAGCACGTCAACGCGTTAATGAGAAACGGGAGGCTTGGATGGATACTTCAGAGTCTGAAGGTTTTAAATTGAGCACGAAAAAGGTCGAGTGTATGAAGTGTAAATTCAGTAACATACCTCACAAGTCAGAAAATGAGGTGAAGATAAAATATCAATCCATCCCAAGAAGGGTTGTCTAAGGTACCTTGGATCAACCACCCAAGAAAAGAGAAAGATTAACAGTAATATAGCTCAATGTAGCTAGTGTTCTTTGACCTTGAGGATGAATTGACGGGATATATTTAGGAGGATGTGCCAAGGTGCGTGCTATTTGTCGATGCCATATCTTTGATTGATGAGTCATACAATTGAGTTACTGATAACATAGAAATTCAAGGTTTGGAGAAAGACCATTGAATCAAAGGGATCTAAAGGGTTGACAGAGAACAAGTGTGCAAGTTCAGTGATGTGCTTCAAGAGTTGGGTGTGAATGTGAAGATTGGAGCTCACATTATTCCAAAAAGGGAAAGCTTTGAGTACCTTGGGTTTGTGATTTAAGGGGATGAAGATATTGACGATGGTGTTGCGCATAGTATTAGCGCAGGCCGCAGGGTGGATGAAGTGGAGGGTGCTTTAGGATTGGATGGTGCCATCCAGAGTGAAAGGTAAGTTTTAACAAGTACTCCATCTATGCTTTATGCTGTTTGGCTCTATGACTCTATCTACTCATGAAATTTGTTGCCAACACATTGTGTCGCATTTGTGCTTTTATTTCTTGACTTGAGGGTCGATGAGAAGCTCCTTCACTGTCCTTCACGGCTAGAGTCAAGGTTTGCATACATTTTACCTTCCACATACCCTACTCGTTAGAATAGACTTGGTTTATTGCTGTTGCATAGCTCATCAGATCACAGCAAGCTAGAGGAAAGGGAGGACTGCATTTAGAGTCGTGTGCGACAAGAATGTGCCATTGAAACTAAACAGTAAGGTCTCAAGAGTAGTGGTCAAAATCTATGTTGTGTTTATATAGGGCAAGGCATTGGCCACTTAATACCACCCACATGCAAAAAATAGAAGTAACAAAGATGAGGATGCTTAGTTTTATTCTCTCTATTAATTTTCTTACTTCTCTTGTACATCAATTCTCAGGTCAGCATCTCAATCAAATATAGTTAATATTTTTGTGGTTTCTGTTCATGGATTGGATACCTTTATTTTCTTCATGTGTTCAACAGAACTGTTCATTTATCATTTTGTTTTCTTCGTGCTATGGTTACATATTATACACCAATTTTCTCCCTATGTCCCAATTTTTTTTATTGCTTTGTATTTGTGTGTGTGAGTGTGTGTGTGTAACGCTTGTTTTGTTGGGCGGTAGACTCCAGGTTGCATTTATAGAGCTTGAACATAAGAACTTTGAGTGACAACATTCTTGACTTGGTGGATGTGCTTAGGAAAAGAAAAGTTGACACACACACGCGCACGCACACACAACATCCATAATGTTTTGGCTCCAAATGATGGAGAAAATCAAAATGGCACATCAAATTGCCATCATTTCTTACTGTCTACGCAGTTTTGTGCAGCAACACATCAAGGATCTAATAGAACCAGCCTATGTGTTCTTTTCTGGTTTCTAACACAAGATTGCATACATCTTGACCTCTCACGCCCCATGGATGTTGGGATTATACTGGGTCTGCTGTGTGCATGTATGTCGTTGGTGCTCCGCCCTTAAGGCCAGAAGTCACAGGGCGGATGGTATTGAGTGATAGTGTGTAGTCATGCAGGTGTTGTTAATAGTATGCTTTGCCACGTCAAACCACGGCATGATTTTAAGAAAGATATTAGCATTAGTTTTATGAAACATTGAATGAAAATCCATCAAAATGAAAGGGGAGAGTCATGGTTTTCATTCATGTATGGAAAGTCAAAGGAGCTAGTATATTGTAGTTGAAGTCACAGGGCGGATGGTATTGAGTGACAGTGTGTAGTCATGCAGGTTTTGTTGGTAGTATGCTTTGCAAAGTCAAACCATGACATGATTTTAAGAAAGATATTAGCATTAGTTTTCTGAAACATTGAATGAAAATCCATCAAAATGAAAGAGGAGAGTCATGGTTTTCATTCATGTAAGGAAAGCCAAAGGAGCTAGTATATTGTAGTTTTCTTGAAATAGGCTATGTTAAAATGTAAAACAATAAAGTAACACGACAGTTCTCATTCATATGCAACTCAAACTCACACCTACATATTTTTCTAGACTATTGCAATATTGATACAGCAAAAATTAATTTCTAATGACTATAAAGCCAATAAGAATAGGCTTTAAGAAATCTGAAACCTGCACCTAATGAGTAGGAATTCATAATACTTCTAAAACAAGGAAAACCTTTTATATAACTAACTACAATATATTTCTATTCTCCAACAAAGAAAAATGATTAGTCCACAATCTACATTGGTATTCCTCTCAGCCCCCAAAATGCATAGTCCACAAACTACATTGATTATAAAGCCAACAAGAATAGGCTTTAAGAAATCTGAAACCTGCACCTAATGAGTAGGAATTCATAATACTTCTAAAACAAAGACAACCTTTAATACAATTAACTACAATATATTTCTATTCTCTAACAAAGGAAAATGCTTAGTCCACAAACTACATTGGTATTCCTCTCAGCCTCCAATTGTTAATTGGGAAACAAAACGAGTGGGCTTAATAATTTGACACTTAAAACAAAAATGACTCCTCAACTTCAAGTCTTCCACCCACATAAAACAAAAAATGTTAAGATTCAAAAAATCCATTGAAGATTGGGAGGTTGTTGTCCGTTACCATGGGAGCTTAATATTATTGACGATGCTCTATCTTCATGCAAATAATAAGCCAAGTAAAAATGACACATTAAACTTCCCTTGTTTCTTACTTATGATGTTTTGGGTAGTAAATGCAAAATTAAGGGACTAACAAAAACACGATGAACACCCTCATATTTTTACACGGGTAAGGCTCCAAGTATCTTGAAATCAAGACTCCAAAGGAGTTGAGAGCTTACTGAGTACGTTGTTGCTCTATTTATTGGGAGGTTGATCTGTGATTTATTCCCTCCATCTCCAGATCAGCTTCACACTTTCCATTTTTGAATGTCTAGAAATTAACTTTACACTTCTCCATTTTCCCTTTTAAGAAACAAATATGTGAACAACTTCATGTCCCCCAGAGTTAGTTTTCGGATAATTAAAGGTACCCCGGAGTATGTTTTTAAAAAAGATGTTTTCGGAGTATGTTTTCACTTTTCAACAACTCTTAAGCTCTGAAGTCAAAATGTTTTTTTCACTTTTCAACAATTCTTAACGGACGATAATCCTTTTCCAACGTTCGATAGTTAGCATACCATTCTCGTCAAAGTTGAGAACAAGGAAATGAAAGTGAAGCCCCGCCATAGAGTAGGACTACAAATGATGCTTGTTTGAAAGACAATAGGAAAACATAGATACTTCTATAATAGAGTATATATCTATTAAAACAATGAAATGATAAAATAGGAACACACATCAAATATTAGAGATTTAAATGGTGAAAAAATGCACTAAAGATTTAAGTACTACCTTGATGTGGCCATCATATGCAATCAACAAATTGTCTGGCTTTAAGTCACGATGAACAACCCGCAAGGAGTGTAAATATTCCAAGGCAAGTACCTGGAATCACACTTGCAATTACTAGATTACAGCATTGTTAAAGGTGTCATAGCTAGAACGAATACTATAAGGTATACTCTATTTTAATATTGTCCTTACAACTTCGGCTATATATACACGAGCCACATCTTCATCCAAGCATCCAAGGTTTCTCAGTAGTGAATAGAGATCCCCACCATTCAGGTATTCCATCACAAGATACAAATTTTCACGGCAAGTAAATGAATAGAAGAAGCGAACCTAGAATGAATGATATATGATTAAATATTAGTCATTGTTTCCGCAGTAAGAGTTAAACATTGCAGCTTGATGTTCTCACCACAAATGGATTGCGGACAGATATTAAAATGTCGCGTTCTGCTAAAATACTTTCAACTGCATTCTTGCGTATCATATCAGCCTTTTTGAGAACCTATATGAAGTAATTTTGGATGAATTGATATAAAAGATGAAAACCCAGGAGAGTGGAAGCGGTGAATAGACAGAAATCAGACAGCAAACTGCACACAGCAGTATAGAACATCAAGAGAGAAAAAAGAGGAACTTTTCACTCAAATCTAGGGAGTAGGGACAACGGCTCAAGGACAACAACAATAACAAGCAATGATTGATGGACATGAGAAGGAATTCATGTGCTTAGTGATACTCCAATCACAAAAAAATGCACATTGACCAAAAAATAGCATCTCTCGAGGAAATCAACAATGCATGTGGTCATGAAAAAAGATTATCAAAACACACAACTTGAACGTATTTTTTAGTACCTTAATAGCAAAAAGATCCCCTGTTGTTCTCTTTTTTGCCAAGAATACCCGGCCAAATGCACCACGACTAATTGGTTTTATAATTTCAAAGTCATCTATAGATGTACGATCTCTATTGGAATGAACGGGACTGGTTCTCAAGCTACGTACAACATCATCTTCAAAAGGAGCATCTTCATCAATGACAGTACTTGTTATATCGATGTTCTCATCATTAACCAGCTCACACATTTGTAAACACTTCTCCCTAGATAGGAAAGATAACCAAACTTGAAAAAAGATATATGGACAAGTCATTATGGTACATCTAAAATGTTAGAAGCATGGTGTTCAAATCACAAGGGCATGATGAGCGATAAAAAGAAGAAATGAAAGTTAACTTACCGAATCAACTTTTCTATGCGGTGTCCAAATGTCTCCACGGTAAGTGCATCCAACTTTCTCCGATCAATGACTACTTTCAAATCTTCAAGGCAAGTGATTAAGTAAGACAATGAGCTACCACCATCCACAGGTGTATTTGCTACACATCTAGCAATATCAGCAAGTTCATTCATCTACAATGTTCACAATATTTGTGCGTGAACTTAAACTGTCTATATAAAAATACATAACCCCCCCCCCCCCTAAAATGATCAGAGAAACATAACAAGGATAATAGATATTACTCAAACCCTCGATACAAAATACATTGTGCATCTAATATAGTAACAAACAAGATATTCAAACAAAGGATCAAGCAAGAATTGAACCCAACAGACTAGTTGTAGCTCAAAGTGGGAGGCTAATGTTACAACCCTAGACATAGTAAACCCGAATGCATTAAATGATGCTTTAAGAACAAGAACGCATATATAATCACTGAAGTTTAAAAGATAAAAAGAGGATGTCATCATCATTACTTTCAGAGAATTGGAACATATGAGAGTTTATTTCACCTCTGTTGTCCCTAAAGGAGGGAAAAAAGTATTCCAAGTGCCCCACTTTACTTGACTTTCCGCTATGGTTTATCACAAGATGATAACCCTGGAAGTTGGTTGTAAGTTGTAGGTTGATTGTGGGTTGTGTTAACTGCTTTGAACAGCTGATTTGTTAAGCGATTTTACAGCTCGTTGTGTTATCAAAAAAATTATTTTGTAACTTTAGTTGTTTGCAAATAGTTTTTTCCAGATAAAAGTGCATGTACTTTTTTCTAAAAATATTGTCCACACACGGACACACCCATGCACACTGCCCATCTCAGATTTTTGAAATTTGGCTTTTCACATCAACCAAGGGAAACAGTCATTCTCCAAACATTAAATTTAGCATCTTGACCAGTCAAATCAATTGAAAAACGTCAAAAGGGCCAAACCTTAGTGGATCATCCAACTTCCAAACACCCTCCCCAAATATCCACTTTCCTAACTTGAACCCTATTATCTTTTTCTAATTCACCATTTCTTTCTTACTTTGGCCCCACTAAGCTGAACATTTTGGAATGTGAACTACATTTTATTTCTTTTCAATAATTAATGTGCTAAAAGCGAAATGACCGTCTATTTTTGGGCTTAGGGGCTAGGTATTACTAATGACCCACCTACCTGAGAGAGATCTTCATGTTCAGGGTAACAACCTTTCCCAAGCAATGACAAATCTATTTGGCTGGTTCGTGGTGTGAGCAAAGGAGACCTAGGAGTAATACTACCAGCAGAGGATGTTGTCATTCCTTGATCAGACTTAGGGCCAAATCGAGGTTTGCATGACATAGATGGTATATTCTTAAGGTCATCATCATAAGCAGGATAATCCGCTTCTGGTAAACAGTCAAGCATATCTTCAGAGCCTCTGCGAGACCAACCACTGGGATTTGGAGATAATTGATCAGATTCTTCAGTTACAATTAAGTTAGACACTTTTGCACCATCTGGATTTGCAGTAGTGGGTTGAAAATCCTTTTGTGAAAATGACTCCATTAATTTCTCAAGTGTATAAGCAATGCTAATCAGACGCTCATTGACACTAAGACCCTTTTGATCACAACGATCTGCAATAGTGCATATTCTAGAGTGCTCTTCCACATGCAAAGTGGGAATATCCTCCTCACAAATACGACAGATAATTATGCTTTCATCGGAGAGATTCGGTTGGTCACCCCAATAGCCCCATGAAACTTTGTGCTGGTGCTTGGAAGATCCTGACGAGTGTCCATAGGACTCTCTGCTAGAAGGGGGCTCTTGATGCTTAGCAGTGGGAAGATCTGAATCTGAAGTCCCTCTCTTGTTGATTCGCAACTTTGAGGCCTCCATAATATCTTTTTTCTCTTTAACTGGAGTAGACTCTTTGGGTCCTTTCCCTACTGGAGATGGTAATTTCTTCCAAGAAGCCATCCGATCCCTACCGCCTGAAGAATCCAGATTCTTAACAGTCTCAGCTGGTGATGAATGCGAACCCTCTGGCTGAATCACCTGACCTCCCTTCAAATCCAAACCATGTTGCTCCTGACTATAAGATTTTCTTGTAGCAGGCTTCTTCAGAACTTTCATGGCAGTGGATAATGTCTGATCCGTTCTCAAGCCTCCAGAAATGTGATTATTGGTAGGATGAAATGATTGACAAAGCTGTGATATAGTTTCATCCTCAGCAAAACTTTCCTTGTGGAACTGTAGCAACCGTGTACACCTTGTGAGTATAAAAAGCATTCGAGTATGCAGCCGCTTCAACGTACCCGCCGGAAGCTCTTGACGCCTATCATCTAACTCCTGAACAATTCCTTCACATTGAAGCCAAAATTCCCCAGATGAAGTCATTGCACATCTTCGAGCTATAATCAGCAAGTCCTCTATAATTTCTTGCCATTCAGGATGCGCTTCAGCATTCTTTTCTAAAATCCCAATGAGATCAGCCGCAAATATATGAAGATCAGAATCAACTTCCTCCTTGGCTTTGGCAAACTTTGTCCTTATCATCGTTAAGACCTCCTGTAGTTATTTAAAATTTGATCAATTGCTGAAACTAAGAAACTAAACATCCCCAATATAAATGATCATACCATCATTTACTAACCTCCAAGTTATTTAAACCTCGAGGCTTCCAAAACGGGAAAGGGCGTACGCCTTTAGAATTCAATTCGTGGGAAAAACTTTTGATATCTGTTGGAAACATTTTCCTCGGTGCACTAGTCAGACGAAGTATAGCTTGAAAGCGTGGAGATTCAGACTCCTTTGAGTTATCACATTCATAAGATGTCTATAAGATGAAATGTAAGAAATTTAACACAACTCTGAAAATATTAAGAATAAAAAAAATGATAGTATTAATGACTAGGAAATCTACTACCTTCAAATCAGGAGTACAAGCATCCATATTCTCTAAACCTCCTGAATGGCCCCTAGATGAATAGAACGTGCCTGTTAAAAAAAACATAAAAATGAAACGTTGAAACAAATATCAACTATCTGCTATTAAAAAATTGAGCAGAACGTAACGGTCAAAATTCTCCCTTATATAAGGAAGTTCTGTTAAGGTGTGATACATGCAGAGGATTCCAAAAGAAGTCTGGGAAGTTTTAGGTCTCAAAAAAACCAAAACCTAAGGAGTTGAGGATGCCAACAAAATCCAGACACACATACACATTCTTCGCAAATAAACCTGTGACATATCCCGGTTCATAACAATATGCCATCTGTTGAGGAGTAGTTATGATTTCAAGTAGCAAGCTACTGATTATCATAGGAGACATCATCAAACACTGGCAATTTCACACCAGATACAAAAACGAAGCAACTCCAAGAATAGCTAGATAGATGGTGCCGCTCAGCAATCACTACAAACTCAATGTTGCTCTTCTCTCATAAATCCAGAAATGGGTTCGGACTTTGGAGAGGCAATTGTCCTTAATCATAACTCGTAAGGAGAACCCCATTCAAGCACACTCCTAACCAGGAAGATGCTACTGGAGAACCTTCCTTTCACCATCATGCACTCCCTCCATCATTGCTCCTCGCTTGGCCATTTCAACCTCACCATTGAAAGTTATAACCTTAACTTCCTACATGTTGTCAATGGTCGGCCTTCCCTTCACCACAATTTCATATGTCTCCTTGCTATGATAGAATCATTGTTTTGATTTTAGCAGTTAAGGATTGGCACAACCTTCCCCTGCGAACAAAGCTGCTGAGCAACTAGCGTATGAGGGCCTCATCAATTGTAAAATGCAGGACTACTCTCCAAATACCATATTTTGCCCGTACGGGGATCTTGAAACACATTGCAATTAGCTATCCTTATGCTGTTGTATCACCCCAAGAGGGCATTGGCTTTAAAATCCACCCTCTTTGTACGTTTCCTCCATTTAATAAAATTCATTTTTCTTCATTACAAAAAAGTTCAAGATAATGCAAAAATGCTCAGATTAAATAACTGCAAACAGGGCCTAATAAATATATTCCTTTCCACTCAACTAGATACCAATGAAGTACTCAAATTTCACGCTCTGTTTGCAGTTTTGGTTCTTGTGGAGAATATTCCGTAATTATTTGTTCATTTCCTAAGTAGAAGCAGGGGTATACTACTAACAACAACCCCAGACCCAGTAAAATCTCACAAAAAGGTAGGGTCTAGGGAGATCGTGTAGCTAGACCTTACACCTACTCAAAAGTAGAGAGAATGTTTACAAGAGACCCCTGCCCAGCCAATGTAAACCAACTCTCATGGAACCAATTCAACCAAAAGCTCAAGCTTATGGTTGTAGGCCGATGAAAGGTTTTATACTTTAACGCGTAGGCGGGATTTTATTTTTTATCGAGCCTTGCATGTAAAATATAATTTTTTAAAAAATTTGGGTAGCAATGAGGTTTGAATTCGTGACCTCTTGGTCATCAAGGCTCTGATACCATGTTAAAAACCATCTCAACCAAAAGCTCAAGTTTATGGTTGTAAGCCTATGAGAGGTTTTATACTCTACGCCAAAAGAGAAGAAACAAAGCACAAATGCAATACTTGAACCCATAAATATTCTTGTTCACTATTCTAGGGTTAAAAATTAATCACTTTCTTTTCTTAATTTTATTATTCATTTGATAGATAATATAGTGTTGTCACCTCTTATTTTGTAGAACTTTTGATGTTGTTTTAAGATATAATCTCTCCGTCCCAAAACTAAAGGCATGCTTTCCAAATTAGGCGACCCATAACGGTAGACACACTTCCATATTTGGCATTACAAACTCAATACAACAACAACAACAACAACCCAAAGAGTAGGGTCTGGGGAGGGTGTGTGTACGCAGACCTTGCCCCTACTCGAAAGTAGAGAGGCTGTTTCCAAAGAGACCCCCGGCTCAACGTCGAAAGTTGCATTGCTTGACTAACTGCTACTTCATTAATTAAAGAAGCGCAGACAGTTTAGAGATCCATTTTGATTTATTCCATCACACCCCAAAGCCAAAAAATGGTGAAATTTTGGCTCCATCGGAGATGATGGAAAGACATTACAAACTCAATAAAANCAACAACAACAACAACAACCCAAAGAGTAGGGTCTGGGGAGGGTGTGTGTACGCAGACCTTGCCCCTACTCGAAAGTAGAGAGGCTGTTTCCAAAGAGACCCCCGGCTCAACGTCGAAAGTTGCATTGCTTGACTAACTGCTACTTCATTAATTAAAGAAGCGCAGACAGTTTAGAGATCCATTTTGATTTATTCCATCACACCCCAAAGCCAAAAAATGGTGAAATTTTGGCTCCATCGGAGATGATGGAAAGACATTACAAACTCAATAAAAATATTATAATACCCCGACCTTTTCAATCATTTTTTCTACTTTTTCAATGAGTTTTACACTCTTTCCCTTATTCCAAACCACCTACTTCTACCTTTTTCAATCACTTTTACACTATCTCTCTTATTCCAACCACCTCACATGAAGGTCACGTTGGGGGAAAATTTGAAAGTGAAATCGTGCCTTGTTTTGGGACGAAGGGAGTATAATTTTTATTTTTTAAATTTTACCTCAATTTTCATATAAATTGAATTAAAATAAACTCACTCAACCATTGTAGTCCGAAACGAGAAAAATCATTGGGACGAAGGGAGTGTATAACAAATTCAAAGATTTGTGGATATGTATGGGTAGGGATGAAAATGGTGAGTATGGAGGTATATGAAGAGTTCTGTTTCGATTGTTTTTATGAAAGAAAATAGAGAAATATGAAGGTCGAAAATGGGAGAATAAAATTAGGAAGGGATAAACCAAGTTAGTTAAGAGATGTGACACAATCTTATCTTAACTTGGAATTAACTCTAAAATTTAAATAAAAATCACTCCTAATTAAATTACTAGAACCTACTCACACTCAAGAGAACCACTCTAAAGAAAAATAAATTAGGGATTTGGGCAAAATAACATCACACTCTTATAACAACTAATAAGAGGGCATCATATTTCATTAAATTCAACAGATAACAAATAGAAGAGGGGATGGGAGGGGAGTATTTCTACACTAATACATCATTATACATGATGGAAGCTATGGTAAAAATGGAAACATAAATGGTAACTTTGAAACAACAAAAACTAAAGCAACTTTAGGTAAAGTAACTTTTCTACAGGTGAAGCACACTTTGTCTCCTCTTTCTTTCTTCTTGGTTCAGCCCACACACTAAGAAAAAAGTGGGGAAATGCTTCTTTTCTTATTATGTTAATTCAGTGGTGGTTCTGGGCTAGAGTGGAGGTAGATTCTGCTAAGGCTAATAGGAAGGTGGAAAATGGGCTAAAGATATTATTAGGTGATAATAATAAGGTAATAGAATAAGGTGGGAAAACATTGGTAATTTAAAGTCAAAAAGGGATTTTTTTCTTTTCTTTCACCTTCGACTTGTTCGGCCAAGGCTAGGACAAAGGGGAAAGACTACTTATTAATTTTATGTGATGTATTTAGTAAGGATTTAATAAGTTTATTGGATTAGGTGGGGGTGGGTTCGGCCTAAGGGTGTGTTTGGGCAAGACATGTGGAGGCTCGTGGTGTAGAGCCAAGCCCGAGTTTATCATCCTAAACTTCTTCAAAAATGTTTGTAGAGAGATTACCAACATTTAACTAATTAAGCAAAAGAGAAATACATTTCACGATTTAAGATAAAAGCTTTCTTCTACATGGGAAATAGACACTTGTTTATAGTGAACAAATGTTTGAAACTAAGGGAAAGAGTAGATTAGATATTCACTGATTATGCTCATTGACTAGAGTTTGTGTTTTTCTTTGTGATGCAGAGTATATAGTTGTATTAACTAAGTAAGAACACTTGGGTAAGCGAGTAAGCCACCAGTGCCTTGTATAGTAGGCGAGTGATGAGGTGCATTAGCATCACCCTTTGAAGTTAGTAATCACAAGTAATGCGGCTTGAGAAAGTGTAACTAATTGCAATGGTGGCTGTCGAAAAATACCTGCTTCAGAAGAAGGCACACCATTCTGCAGCCTCGACGGCCCTAGACTGTGAGAGCTTTGGTTCCTGGACTGCGCACTCTCCATTGACATACATTCCGAATTGCTCCCAATATCCGCCCAACATGATTTCTCAGATGTCCCCTTTTCCTCCTCCATTCCAGAATTCTTTGCCGAAGATGATGACCCATCCACTCTACCAGTATTCCCAGCAGGCTTGGGCAAGCTACTAACACCCACAGCACTACCCTTATCTCTACTCGCATACCCAAAGAAGCTCTCCTGCAGCAACGGCCCAGATCGAGTCTTAATCTTGTTCAAACCCAAAGAAGATGCTAGAATAGGCGACACAGATACAGCAGTCTGAGGGCCAACTTCCTTGACCTCGGCCATACCCAAGTTTTTCTGCTTAAAAGAGCCCAATGTTTCTCCTCCTCCTGGTCCAGACATCCCAGAAGAATTCAAACTACCAATTGTGCTCTCTTTCCATTTACCATCTTTCTTCTTATCTCTGAAGCTCGCAGCTAAACTTGAAATCGAAGAGGGGGTAGCAGGAGAGTTGTTCTTGGAAATGGAATTTGACTTTCCCAAGCTCTTATCGGATCGGATCGGGGAATTCGGCCTGACGGATCGCGGGCTATTAGCCGATGCATCTGGGCTGGAAACATCGGGTTTCTTAGAAGAAAAAAATCGGCCTTTGAACACCATGAGAGAGCTTAATCCGTTCCCTGTGTGCTAAGCTATGGCGTCTCAGTATCTTCTCCAACTTTTATGCATGGTGGACTGGAGTAGTAGTATAGACTGCACAGCTTTTCCATTTTTCAGTTTTCTGTTTCCGTGTGTTGACTGGTGATGAACGGGGAGAGGGGGAGGGAGAGGGAGAGGGAAGTGGGTCTGAAATCAAAGAATTCCGAAAAGAGCTACAGTTGTGGGAGGTAGTTTTTGTACGGTGCATTGCCTAATTTTTGAAGATTTTAATATTCTCTTCATCCAAAAACAATATGAAATTAAAAAATAAATATTATATATTAAAAATAGATATCAAAAGATTGACTACTTCGGTAAAATATGTTTTTTGTCTGTGAAAATAGGCATGTTTTTATTTTTGTCCTCGTAAATTTTTTTTAAATAATTTTTTTAAGCTTGGTAATTTTCTGATTTGGCTTGTAATTATCCTACTCAGTACCCACTTGGACCAATTTATCATCACCCTCCTTAAAAACTCTATCTCTACTTGTCTCTTCTCTTGGATCTTCTCTCATACATTTCGATTAGTCCTCTACGTTGTCCCTCCATTCATCGTTCTTCTTCATCCTCGCCTTTGGTCATTGAAGGTATGACTCTCCTGAAGCAAACATTTTCTTGTAAATCTTCATCCTCGTCCGTCATGAGACAAAGGAGGTTCTGCGATTGCAGCGATGAGCTTATGATAGGATGTTTGAGTCAAAATCTAAAAAACCCTGATAGAATGTTTTGGAGATGGCGTAATTAGAATTTAAGTCACTATACTTAGGTATTTTGCATAACGGGTTCTAAATTGCATTGTTGTTGTGAGGCTATTTTTATTTTCTATTGTTTTAGCTTAATTTTCAAATGTTACTCACCATCTTTTTTAATCTTACACCTATGTGGCTAACTAGAATGTCTTGCAATTTTTTAAATGGGTTGATGAGCTTGATGGTAACATGAAAGAACAAATTGTTGATGTTCCTAGTCACATGGAAGCAGCCCCTGTTTTGGTTTGAAATTGTCATGATGAAGAGATTCTGGGTGAAAGTGAAAGCTTTACTTTCTATCCTCTTTCTCATTTTGGTCATTTTGGTTGTCTAAGTCTGATGTAGTTTGAGGTGTTTTATATATACACTTCCACCTCATAGTAATGATTATTTCGTAGTCTAGTGTAGTTTGCAAACCATGCCCTTTTGATTATAATTATGTACTTTGTGAATGATTATGTACTTTGAGTCTGTATAATGTACTTTGAGGTATGCACTTTGCTTATGTATTCTGGATATACATATAGAAGATTAAATAATGTGTAGTCTAGTATAAACAAGGGCAAAATTTAAGCCAATCTCATCATTGGTTCGCCATTATCATTTGGTTATGGCCATTTTTTATATCAACCTTGAAATGCAATTGTTGGGTTAGGGAACCCGGGGGCCTAGGAAACTAAGAGTATTCTTGTGCTTGTTAGAACGTAAGTCCCCCTTCCTTTAGGAGGGAAGGGGTTTATATGCAGATTACAACATAGGGTTCCGACCGTTGGTCCAGAGTCCAATGGTCTGGGCCCACTAAGATTGGGTTGTTCGCTGGCGGTGTCCAACCACATCATTATCCCTAGGATTGCTATACAAAGTAGGTTACAAATGGGGTGGCTAGAACAACTCTGCCAGAGGTGTGGCAGGGGTCTAATCGTGGGCCCCTTGATCTTGACTGTTTGGCCAGCTTCCTTGTCCGGGTCTGGTCTACCGTTGCCCAGGGCCGAGGCCGAGCGTGTGCCCTGTCCTCGGAAGTCTCTTGGTGGAAGGCCGGCCGGGGTTGGTCTGAGGATGACCGACCCGGCCGAGGCCGAGCGTGTACCGTTGCCAGGGTGGCCTTCCCTGGTCCTTTGTTTATTCTTGCATTAGTCCGGCTAAGTGGGCCTTAGCGAAGTTGGGCTGGGCCGCTTTTCTATTGGGCCGGATACCCCCATTCCCGGGTATCCATCATGAGTCCCCTACTTCCTTGGCCGAGTGTATCTAGGCCGAGGGAAGTAATCCAATGATGTTTGGGAATTCAAATTTTGAAAAATCTTGGCCGTGTGTAGGAGTCCCCCACTGCCCAACTTGAATGATGATGAAGGCTGGGGAGTGCTCCAGGTGGCAAGATTTACACGTGTCACCTTCGAAATTTGAAAAGCATGATTGTGCTGCTTGGGAAACGCAACGTCTCTATACTTTTCCTTTGTCAGTCGTTCGTGACGATTTGCAATCGTACGCGTGAGGAAACGCCACGTCCCTCCGTGATCGTGGCTTTTCCTTGAATCGGGTCGGATCCCTTAGTCATATAAAAGTGAAAAATTTTTCCAATCTTCTCCACCCTTGCCATTTCTACACCGCACTTTCATCGTCGATTTCACTCGCCGTCTCTGCTCACTCACCGTCGCCGTCGCAATCTGCCCAGAAGGTTAGTCCATCCCTCTCCGTTCTCATGGCATTTTCTGAATCCACTCCTTCCATCCTTGTTTTCGACCCAGCGGAGGTCTGTTTCGAGGAAATGTACCGGCAAAATCCCTCCCTCCGCCCCGATGGTCTGATGGGAGGAATTGACCATTCTAGGGTTCTGAGTGCGGTGCCTCTCTGCACGTCAGTCACCGTTGCGTCGTCGTCTCGGGCGTCGCCTCCGAAGAGGAAAAAATCGAAGGCTGCCTAACGAATCCAATCACGAATATGGGTTGCCTTCTATTAGACATTGACTTTGACGAGGCTCTTCGCTTCGTGGGGGAGGGGTATTCCGTACGCCGACCGCACGTGACTAACCATGTCTTCTCTGTGACCAGCCCCGACGCCGAGGTCGGGGTGCATGTGTCGTCCATGCGCTACGGGCTTCGATTTCCTCCTCATGATTTGATAGTCCAATTCCTGAACTTCTATCGTCTCCTCCCCGGCCAGCTCAGTCCCCATTCCTACTATTGTTTTTCTACTTTCCAGATCAAGTGCCATTTGAAAGGAGTCCCCTGGTCATTGGATCTGTTTAGATATATGTTCAAAGTCTCCAAGATCCGAGCGCGTGAGGGAAACTCGTACACCGTTGTGTCTTCTCAGACTAAGTGTGGTATGGTCGTCATCCCCACGTCCCTCAAACTCTGGAATGCGAAGTTTGTCTTCGTCTCAGGCTTTCCCGGGGACCGGGACCCTTTCACAGCCAGGTTTCCTGAGTGTCATACTTTCATTCGCCACCCTCGTCCCGACCCCACTCTAGAGCTTCTCGCACACGCACAGAAACTCCTGGAAGACTGCCGGCCCAAACCGCCCCACGTATACACGGTGTGCACGAAGCAGAACCTTGCAAAGGTGGGGATCCTCATCTCCCTCGAACGACAGTTCGAGTTGGCCGAGGTCGTGCGGGGGGGTTGTCCCAAGCATGGGCTCGAAGAGACTGCCTCTGGGGCTGAAGAGGACGAGGAGATTGAGACCGACGAGGAGTCAGGACAGCGGTCCTACTCCGAGGATGCCATCGACGCGGAGCCTTCCAGAGGTTTGTCCTTCGCCTTAGGATTTTTTCCATTTGGGAATGAGTTTTCTAATCTGTGTTTTTTGCTTTGGCAGGAAACATGCATCTACTTGACGTTGCGCGGAAAGCCAAGCTGTTAACCCAGAGCCAGGGCCGAGAAGAGGAGGTTCGTCGTGAGCCACCCTCAGGAGACACGTCCGAGTCTGCCGCGACCATCCCCGACCGGGAAGTGGTTCCGACCCGGAACCAGAGAAAAAGGAAACTCATCCAAGCCGAGGAAGAGGAGACCGCGTCCGAGCTGGACGTGATTCTGACTCAGAGTCCTCCGACAAAGCGCCCGACGATTTCTGAGGATGGGAAGTTCTCCGCTCTCCTTGACGAGGGGGGTGTGAATGTGCAAGCCGAGGCTGAGGCCGGGCCCTTGACCATCGTGTTGAAAGACGAGGGCGAGATCTTGTTGTCCCTGCAGAAGACCGTGGACGGGTTCCAGCAAGCAATGCAAAAGACCGTTCAAGGGCTCCATCAAGAGGTAGGTGTACTTGTGCCTTTCTCAATGTTTTCATGATAGGTAATTGACTTAGCTTATGTTCAGGTGTCGGCGAAGCTGTGTCTCATCAATGATCGCCGAGCCGAGGCTGAGTTTTCTTCGGGGGTGAACTTCTTGACTTCGATGGAGACATAGCTATCTCGCTTAAGAAAACTGGCAGCTGCCGAGCATGAGACGGCTGTCGAGCTCGAGATGCAAGCCATAGTGATGTCCGAGGAGGTTGTCAGGCTGAAGGGTCTCTTGAGAGAGTCAGAGGAGTCGGCCTCCCAACTGACGGCTTCCATGGCCGAGCTAGAAAGGCGGCTGCGCCAATCTAAGGGCCGAATAGCCGAGATGGACGTCGAGCTGGCCAGCGCTCTCTAGAGGCGGAGCGAGATCAGGCAATTGCTGAAAAAGAGCAAGCCGTCGCTGAGAAAGACCAAGCCGTTGCCGAGAAGGAGCGAGCCGTCTCCGATTTCCTTTAGTCCCCGGCCTTCAAGGAGGCCTGCATGGAAAAATTCGCTGACTACTATGACAGCTGGATCGAGACCGAGGCCGGCATAAAGAAGATGGGAAAGGAGGGGCCGAAGTGGCTCGAGACCGGCGTCTACCATGGGATCCAGCTCGTCCTACGGCGAGTCAGAAGAGTGGATCCATAATTCCCTCCGCCCGGGGTCGACATCCCGGACATGCACGACCCTGATCTGAATGACGAGCTCGAGGAGAATCCGGATTACTTTGGGACGCCTGAACGTAAGGGCGGGGATGCGGATGCCGCCGATGAAGAGCATCCCTTAGACGCTCTTCCTTAGTGTTTCCCTTTGTAATTTTCAATGTTTCGCCTTCCCTTGTAATGAACAAAACATCTGTTTACTGTTTCGTTGCATGCGTGAACAGTGAAGAGATTTTCTTCTGACATCATTTATTTGAATATATTTGAATTGCGCCTTTTGAGGAATTGACTCTTTGGCTTCCCCATAAAAACAGACCTAACCACTGGACCGTCGCACTGTTTCGTCCAAGTGTCATTGCAACTCGTTCCAATTCCAACCACTGCGACTGTTCACCTGCCTATCCCTTCGTTTTTGGGCCTATAAATTGACACTCCACTTTGTGTTGTGAACCCATCTCTCATCACGCCAATTATGTTAACTCTTCCATGGCCTCCAATAACTCCAAAGAGACTCTTCCTCCGTCTTCTCAACCAAATGTCGCCCGGCGTGCCCCTCCTTTTCCGTCGGAGGACGCCGAATCATGTACATGCTCTTGGTGGTACCGTGTAAGGAGGTTGGAAAGGCGTATTGAGCGTCTGCAAAGGCTCGTGAATTACCTTCACGGGGTCCCTCAACGACCTGCACCTCCGGTTGAGGCCGCTCAGCCGGCTGCTAATGCCATCCCTGCGGGTGACAATCACCCGGAAGAGTCCGTCGGCTCGTCTTAGATATCTCTTCCATCCCCCTTCCCTGTATATCTCCCCATGGAGGTCTACAGAACAGGGGGGCCATCCACGTCCTTCGGTGCCTGGGCTTTATTTGTTTTGAAGTCCATGGGGCCTTAAGACGGGGTGCATCTATCTACCAATGGATTTTAAGACCAGGGAAAAAGGAGGTCCATTGGGAGGTAGAGCATCCTAGGTCTTTTCCTTTCTTAGTGCCGCTGTGCAATAAATGTTGCCGGTGTCGCAACTGTAGCATGTAGGGCATGTTGTGTAATAAATGTTGTAGCTTTCGAGATACCTTGTAATGGAGTTTGACTTTGTGTGCAATGAATGCCTTTGTAATGAATTCCTTGTTTTGCTTATAAGTATGATGCATCGCTCACTTCTCTACTTGCTCTTTTGCGATATGGCGTTAAGTCCCGATACCCCTTCTCTCGAAGAAGGAACATCTTTCATTCGGGCTACTCCACCATGCTCGTTTCTTATGGCAAACTTCACTTTCCCCAGCTTCGCCACCGCCCCGACCGCGGTGGGGAAGTGCATTGATCCTGACCCTTCTTCTTTGAGCGAGGAATCTGTTCAAGGCCCTCTTCGCCGAGAACCTGCTACGGTGGAGGTTTCAAAGAGATCTGGCCGTTTGGTGCGCAAGGTGGGCACCAACGTGTGTGCGGCTTTCGCCGTGCTCATCGTAAGAAAACTGCCAACATAACCCTTAAAACGAAGCTGGTGACCGATCACGACGCATCCTCCGTAGATTCTTCTTTCTCCGAAAAATGGATGTGTATTTTGACCATTCGGGAAATAGCGCTTCACATTCTTGTGCTTGAATGATAATGTATTGTCGCCTTTGGCGTGGTTTATGGAATAAAATTGCTGGCATGCTTTGTTTTTCTTTTCTTTTCCTCTCTCTTTTTTTTGCACCCCAAGGGGTTTTGCCGCGCTCACACCCTCAGCAGGGCGGCGAAAGGTGTGCCCTCAGCAGGACTAAGTGTCGTGGAAGACATCCTAAGCAGGCTTGCAAGTTTTTCGTCCTAAGCAGGACCTTGTGCTGCCCTCTGTGCTAATAACAAGTTGTGCCCATTCGGACCTTGTTCTTCGTCTCGTTTAGAGCGCCGAGTCCCCGGGCCAAGCCGTGCGGATGGGCTCCCCCTGGAGGGACACTTGACAATAGGTATTGTCAAGTGGCGAGACGGTTAAATTGTTTAATTCTTGTGATGTGTGTGTGTGGGAGCGCAGAGGGACTTTGTTCGCGTAAAGCGAAAGACCGCGTGAGGCCAAATCGTGGTGTGGGAGCCTGATGACGCTAAGCAGCACTATAAATTGCGTAAAGGCAAAGTTGAATTCGTGTGGAAGCGAGAATATCATTTAAAAAAAAATTTTTGCCACCAAGGCCGACTGGTTACGGTTCTCAGTGCATTACTTGTAGAAGGAAATAAGATTGTGAGTGTTCCAGTGCCTGCCGAGTTCGCGACCTTCAAGCGTGGAAAGTTTGTAGGTGCCTGGCCTGAGCACGGCTACGACCTTGTACGGTCCTTCGTAGCTCTTGGCGAACTTTCTTCCCTCTTATGGCTAGCTGGCCTCTCTTTTCCTGAGCACTAAGTCCCCAACTCGGAATTCCCTTGCTCTGACCTTGCGGTCATAGTACTCCTTGACTTGTCTTCGGTAGTTTTCTGCTCGGAGGAAGGCTCGTTCCCAGTGTTCTTCGACGAGATGAAGGTCGGCCGTCATGGTTTCTTCGTTTTCTCGCGCTTCGTATTTTTCTTCCCTCCAGGTCGGAACAAACACTTCCGAGGGCGCCCTTGCCTCCAGGCCATAGCACATGGAGAACGGTGTTTCTCCTGTTGCCCTCCTCGGAGTGGTGCGGTATGCCCACAGCACGTCGGGGAGTTGGTCCACCCATGCTCCCTTGTAGGATTCAAGTCTCTTCTTGATCCCATCCATGATTGTCCGATTAGCGTTCTCTACTTGGCCGTTCCCTTGCGGGTAGGCCACAGAACTGTAGGTGTGTTTTATCTTCCATCCTTGTAGAAGCTCGTTGAAATCTCTAGCCTCGAACTGTGTGCCGTTGTCTGTAGTGATTTGCTTCGGGACACCATATCGGCTGAGTATGTTATTGCTCACAAATTTTGAGCCCTGCTCTGCGGTTCCTCCCACCAGGGGCTCGGCCTCGATCCACTTTGTGAAGTAATCGATGGCCACAATGATCCACCGGAAGTTGCCATGCACCCTCGGCATCAGACCTATCAGATCTATCCCCCAATGAGCGAAGGGAATTGATGAAATGATGGGGTGGTAGTTTGTTCCTGGTCTTCCGGGGATGTTCTGAAAAATCTGGCACACCTTGCAGCGCTTAGCGCGTCTGGCACAGTCCTTCACCATGGTTGGCCAGAAGTATCCCTGTAGGACTATGCGTCTTGCCATGGAGAAAGGACCTTGGTGTGCCTCGCATACTCCCTCATGGACTTCTTCCATGATCTGCTCTGCCTTGGCTTCATCAACACACCTCAACAGTGTTCCATTACATGATCTCTTATACAATCGGCCATTCTCAATGACATACGTCGGCGCCCTGCGTTTGATCAAACGGGCCGCCGTCTCGCCGCTGGGAAGGATCCCATCCTTCTTGTACCGGATCAACTCCGCAATCCAGCCATCAGTCTCCCCGGTGATAACAGATATGAGTTGTATGTGAATGCTTGGGGATCCCAGGTCTTCAACATGGGCCATATTGGAGATGTGCTCAGGGCTATCATTGCTCAATTTGGAGAGGGCGTCGGCCTCAGTGTTTTCCGCCCTAAGGATTTGGACCAACTCGTATCCTTTGAGGATTTTGAGCAATTCTAGGGCTGCCTCCTTGTACAGGCGCATCCGCTCTTCTTTGGTGTCAAACTCACCCTTGATCTGACTGACGACCAGGCCCGAATCGCACCTGATCCTGACGTACTTGGCCTTCAGGTTGAGGATGATCCTCAGGCCGCTTAGCAACGCCTCATATTCTGCTTCGTTGTTGGACACCTTGAACTGGAATTTTACTGTGTGGTATGAGCGGAATCCCTCAGGTGATTGGATTACTACGCCCCCACCGCAAGCCTTCGCGGCTAATGATCCATCAGTGAACAAGGTCCAGCACTCGCCCTGCAGGGACGTGGGGTTGTTGTCTCACACCGTGCACTCCACCATGAAATCGGCCAAGGCCTGGGCCTTGATTGCTGTCCTCGGCTTCATCTCTATCTGATATTGACTCAAATAGACAGACCACTTGATGACGCTGTTGGAGGCGGTTAGATTCCGGATGATGATGCTCAGAGGCTGATGACTCCTCACCTCCACTTCATGGGCCTGAAAATAATGGTTTAGTTTCTTAACCGTGTTGACAACGGCCAGGACTGTTTTCTCCACCACCGAGCATCTGAGCTCGGCATCCCTCAAGGTTCTGCTGACATAATAGATGGGGCGTTGGGAGTCCCCTTTCTCTCGCAACAACATAGAGCTTATGGCTCCAGGGCTGACGCCCAAATAGAGGTACAACTTCTCGCCCTTGACCGGCTTTGCCAACACCTGCGGGGTTAGCAGATACTTCTTCAATTCCTTGAACGCCGTTTGGCATTCAGGCGTCCATTGGAACTTCGGGACCTTCTTCAGCGTACCGAAGAAGGGGATGCTCTTCTCGGCGGATTTTGACAAAAATCGGCCGAGCGCGACCATCTTTCCCGTCAGACGTTGCACCTTCTTTATGGAACGGGGGGCTTCCATATCCAGGATTGCCTTGACCATCTCCGGGTTGGGCTCGATACCCCGTCGGCTGACGAGATAGCCTAGGAACTTTCCATCTTATACACCAAATGTACATTTTTTGGGGTTAAGACGTAAATTGAACTTGCGCATAATGGAAAAAACCTGGGAAAGGTCCTCCGCATGGTCGGAAGACTGCTTGCTCTTGACAATCATGTCGTCCACGTACGCGGCCATCGTCTTCCCCAAGACCGAGTGGAACACTGGACTGACCATCCTCGTGTATGTGGCCCCGCTGTTCTTCAGCCCGAAGGCCATCACCAAATAGCAATACACCCCCTCCGGGGTGAGGAATGCCGTCTTCTCGGCATCCTCCTCGTGCATGAACACTTGGCGATATCCTCTGAATGCATCCATGAAAGACATTACCTCACACCCGGCCGTCTGGTCAGTGTAATCCACACACATTCTAAATATCTGCCCCTTCGGCACCTGCACGACGTTGGCCAGCCAGGTGGGGTACTTGATCTCCTTGACATGCCCTGCTGCTTGAAGCATGTCCACCTCCTTCTTCACGAAATCCCTCCGGTCTTTGCTCAGGTGCCGCCTTCTCTGCTCTATGGGTTCCGCATCCGCTCCCACCGCGAGGCGGTGGGTGATCAAGGACTTGCAAACTTGATCAAGGACTTGCTTACTTTGACCGAAGCTCGACACTGATGTTGATACCGAGCTTGATCTTCTTCTCCTGTTGATCCTCCATGATCACCACATCATCTGTCTCCTCGGCCGGCTCGGCCCGAGGACGCCCTTCTTCCTCCTTCAAAAGTGCCGTGGCAATGCTGTCTATCCTCAGATCCTGGGCATCCATCTTCTTCGTCTGCTTTTGATAGCAGAGTCGTGCGAGCTTCTAGTTTCCTCTGCACACTCCTACTCCCGAATCAGTTGGGAACTTCATGCATAGATATTTTACAGACGTCACGGAGTCGAGGTCTTCCAGTGCAGGCCGGCCTAGAATCAAGTTGTGGGAGGCAAGGAGTCGCACCACCACGAACTCGATCGGTATGGTCTTTTTGTGCTCCCCATCGCCGAAGGTGACCATTACCTCGATTAAGCCCTCCGAATCGATGATGTCCCCTGTGAATCCGGACAGGGGAGTCCTCACTCTCCTCAAAAGCTCTTTCTTCAATCCCAACTCCTCGAATGTCTTTACGTACATGATGTTGACCGAACTCCCATTTTAAACGTAAGAACGATGGATCACCACCTCGTTGATCTCGCACTTGACGACCAAGGCGTCTCTGTGCGGGGATGGGATCTCAGGTAGGTCCTTGGGACCGAATAGGAGGGGCTCCGTCTTCGTGACCTTCGATGGCCCAGGTGCGCCGCAAACGTCCCCGACGTAGGCTGAGTGCACCCACCTCTTCCTCTGCTCGGCACTATCCCCTCCGGTGTTACCACCATAGATCATTCGGTTTTCCTCAACCATCTTCTGCCTAGGGTTAGCTTCGTCTTCTTCATCACTTGGAAGGCCTATCTCCTTCCTCTTCTTCTGCTGGGTTCCCGCCGGTTTCTTCCCTTGGTTGTCCACATTTTTCTTTCCATCGTCTTTGCGCCATGTGTTCTTCTTTTTGACGAACTGCCTCAAATATCCGGCCTGGATCAAGTTTTTAATCTCCCTCTTGAGGACCTTGCATGCGTCCGTGTCATGGCCGGCTGCTATGTGAAACCTGTAATAAGGACCCTCACCCACAGTGCAAATCGGAGGAAATCTCGGGTCATATTCCACCAAGCCTTGATGCTCGGCGAAATCCAGGATGGCACTGACGGGGTGTGTTAGGGGTGTGAGCTCATATGGAAATATCAGCTTAGGACCTTTGGGGGGATAGGGCTTCCTGTCGTCCACCCCTTCTTCGTATACATCTTTTCCGAAAGAACGTCGGTCACGCGGATCTCTGCCCTTCCAGAAACGATGTCCGGCCGGCAAATGTGACCGCTTGTCAATGGTGACCTTCCTCGCTGGGGGCCTCGTCGTCGCCACCATGGTCCCTAGTCTTCCTTCCTCCTCTTTCTTCTTGTTTGCTTCCAACTCCTCTGCTTCGGCTTCGTCCTCTGCCATGGCTAGCGCGATGGCATACTCCCTCAGCTTCTCCAAAGCCAGGCGTTTGGAGAAGTCCCCTGATTGCAGGACCAGATGAAAGGTGGATAATCTAGTTTTTTCATCTGTTCCATAAACTCTGGTGGTCTCCAACTTCCACCTTGCCAGGAACTCCCTCAGTGGCTCGTCCGGCCTCTGTCTGACAGACAAGAGGTGCGAGAAATACAGCTTCTTCTTCCTGTTTCCGGCGAAGTGCACTAGGAACCTCCGCGCCAAATCTTCCCAGGAATCGATCTTCCCCTCGGGCAGTTCATTGAACCACTCAGACGCCAGCCCGTCGAGGGTTGCGGGGAACGATCTGCAAAGGACCTCTTCGGAGAACGTCACCACGTGCACGTTCATGAGGGTTTGGTATCGGTTGAAATGCTCCTGTGGGTCGGCAGTTCTATCGTACCTCAGTATTGGTGACATTTGGAAGCTATTCGGCAAAGGTGCCCTCAGAATCCTCTCCGAGAAAGGAGAACGGAGTCTGAACATAGGTTCGGCCTGGTGCCCAGGCCCGCTCCTTTTCTCTAAGGCGTCAAGCCTTTGTAAGAGCAAATCGAGGCGTTCATCGCCCGATCTGCATGTCCCCCCATTCACCGCGCTGGGCGCCCCCTGCGGCGCTCTCGGAATCGGATGCTGAATGGGCTGCTCGATCCAGGAATTCGGCCTTTCCGGATGGACTTCTCTGTGTCGGTCACACTGTTCCTCGCAAGGCATCCTTATTTTCCCTGCTCCGTCCTGCATGAAGGCATTCCGTCGGCCATGCAATCGTTCCGTGGCCGGCACTCGCATCCGGCTGAACACGGACACGTGCGACTCACTTTTGCCTTGTCACTCCTTCAGGGGTTCACGATGCTTGCTTGCCGTATCCTTGTCTCGACGGCTAGCTTGCTTCCTGTTGGCCCTACGCTCCGGGGCCTTGCAATTGTCCCGCTGCTGGGAGCGGCCTAACTCCTTGTTCTCAGGTCCTCCTGCCGAAGGGTTCATGCGGGGGTCCGTCATCAGACTTTTTAGGTGTTGGGCGAAAAGCTCCGCGCTTTCCCCCACGTTCTGCTGGACTTCGCAACGTCCTTCAAGTTGGAACGTCGGCTGCGGCATCGTGACTGGCATATGGAAGCTAGCCATGGGCTGATTGAACATCATCGCCCTCATCAAGGCCCAGAAACCGCTAGGGTCTAGGCCTGGGGTCCTCGCACCAGAGGTCTCCCTAAACTGGAAAAGTGGTGAGTTGAGGTCACCGGGCAACATCATGCCTCCTCCGCACACGAGTCTGTTGGGAGAAGGTTGGGTCAGAACGCCGGCGCCCTGGGTGGGCACCTGCTGGGTAGGTTCTTAAGACATCCCAGCGTTCGTCGCTTGCTGCCTAGGAATGCGATGGCGTAGATCAGTGGTGTTCTGGCTATTGACGTCGTTGAGGCTGCCGTCCAGGTCGTCATGACCCGCGCCGATTGGCGCCGTGACAGTCATCCTGAGGCCACCAGCGGTGTTGGCGGCAGACAACCTGGTCACTCTTCTTGACGCAACCATTTTTTGGAGCATGCTTGATGTGTTCGACACTCTCAACGAGAGCACCAATGTTGGGTTAGGGAACCCGGGGGCCTAGGAAACTAGGCGGAAGAGTATCGAACTAAGTCGAGAGTGCACAAATTTGGGGTCAAGTAAACTAAGAGTACTCTTGTGCTTGTTAGAACGTAAGTGTTAGAATAAAGGCCCAACGCTAGAGGGGGGTGAATAGCGTTTGAAACAAAATCGCAGGAAATTAAAAAACGAGAGCGATAAAGTAAATAGCGTAAGGAAGGAGCACACCGAATTTTATCCTGGTTCACCACAACGTGTGGCTAATCCAGCCTCCCGAGAGACTCTCTCGAGCTACACTAACTCCGTTAAGCTTAAGGGTGCTCAACAAACCGATACAACTTGAGAACTCGAGCCACACGAGCCTCAACGCCTTTGCTCGGAGATACCGCACTCCAAGACTTCTCACGAAGGAACAAAGAACTTCCTTCGAGTTTACAACAAGGGAACAACCTCCCTTAAAGTGTATAAAAACACTTAAACACTCAGGAATAAAACTCTCACAAAGAGTAGATATGAGTGAACTAGTAAACGCTCAAGAACACGACAATTTCTTCAAGAATAGGCTCTCAAATAGCTAAGAAAAATAGGAATGATTATGCAATTAAAGAGTATTGAAATGTTGAAGAATTGTTTTTAAAATGAGAGGATTTGGGTGCCATTTTATAGCCCAAAATGGGATAAAACCGTTGCTAAATTTTCCAACAGGATGAAGACAAATTTTTCAGAGTTGCAGGGTGATAATCGATTGTCTAGACATTATAATCGATTATTAAAAGATTCCCTATCCAAAAATTTAAAAAACTATCCGTTGGAGGACAACGGTAACCCAGATAATCGATTGTCAACAAGTGATAATCGATTATTGGTTTTCTCAGAAGTTTCTGGGTTTTGGCTGCACAGGTTGATAATCGATTATTGAATAAGTGATAATCGACTATTGCGTGCTTTAGAACTTTGGAGTTCCAAAGTTGCAGGGGCTGATAGTCGATTGTCACTAAGGTGATAATCGATTATCACCCAGCTAAAGTCTAGCCAGCTGAAACCCGTTTTGAAAAACCGAGGTCCAAAAACGAAGTGTTCCCAAAAGTAAAAACCAAGTTTGAAAAACATTGTATATGGTATAAAATAGTGAAAACAAGACTTGTTCGGTAAAAACCAAGTCTCCAAGGTCGTACATCACGTGCGTACGGTTTAGACCGTTTTTCACGTGTTAGACCGATTGACCAAGATACAAAAGTGGTTTTTATGNCAAAAACCGAACGCCGAACACCGTACGCCGACTTAGGTGATTTTGGTTCTGAGCAAGGACCAGGGATTTTAACAATAAAAAATTTATCAAAAATGTTTATTTTGATGCACAAAAATATTTTATGATTTTGTAAAATTATTTTCACTCTTTGAGAACCGAGACTTGAATTGATTGTCGGTTTTGATCAAAAGACCGACTCGACTAAGTCTTCAATTCTTGATCTTGTCCTTGAGTCTTTTGGGTCTTGTTCCATGCCATTCTTCGCGCCTTGAGTTATTCAACGAAACTCTTTATATCCACGGCGGTTTGGCAATTATCAAAACCTGTCAAAAATGAACACGACTTTAGTTAAACGTGCAAAGTGTGTTCCAACAGTAAGTCCCCCTTCCTTTAGGAGGGAAGGGGTTTATATGCAGATTAAAACATAGGGTTCCGACCGTTGGTCCAGAGTCCAACGGTCTGGGCCCACTAAGATTGGGTTGTTCGCTAGCGGCGTCCAACCACATCATTATCCCTAGGATTGCTATACAAAGTAGGTTACAAATAGGGTGGCTAGAACAACTCTGCCAGAGGTATGTCAGGGGTCTAATCGTGGGCCCCTTGATCTTGACTGTTTGGCCAGCTTCCTTGTCTGGGTCTGGTCTGCCGTTGCCCAGGGCCGAGGCCGAGTATGTGCCCTGTCCTCGGAAGTCTCCTGGTGGAAGGCAGGCCGGGGTTGGTCCGAGGATGACCGACCCGGTCGAGCGTGTACGGCTGCCGGGGTGGCCTTCCCTGGTCCTTTGTTTATTCTTGCATTAGTCCGGCTAAGTGGGCCTTAGCGAAGTTGGGCTGGGCCGCTTTTCTGTTGGGCCGGATACCCCCATTCCCGGGTATCCATCAGCAATAGTTACCGCTCAAATATCCCTTGTAGAGGACTTGAAATGTTGGGTGCCTAACAAACTGCAATGTCCAGAAATATACCCTAGAATTTATGATGAAATTCTAACGGGTTGTAATTCTGATGTTCGTCAAAATTTATTAAGAATTGAAATTACAGGCCCAAAATAAGATATTTTTAAAGTAGTCTTTTTATGTTTATGTTTATATTTCAATTGTAGGTCTCGAAGAGAGTGTTCAACGGTGTATTCCATGTGCAAATTTGAGTTACAAAACTTAGTGTCGTGGCTGCCCTAGGAGTTAAAGGACAATAAAGTAAAAGAATAAAATATAAGTATGTCATAGATTCAAAATAATATACTCCCTCCGTCTAAAAATTTCTTTTCCCATTTGACTTGGCTCGAAGATTAAGAAAATTTAAAAACTTAGAAGACTTTCCATGTATTACCCTTGATGAGATAAAATAAAGTGAATAGTGTAGATAAAAATGGGGGTATAATAACATATTTATTAAAGATTTTTTGCCAAAATAGGAAGCGAGAAAAAAAATTAGACGACCCAAAAAGGAAAGTAAGAAAAGAATTAATGGACGGAGGGAGTATTCAATATTGTTTTCATTAGGTACCTCATGAAAAAATGATGAACGACATATTGTTTGTCAAGTTTGAAATTATGTATAAAAATTTATGAATAAAATACAGTTCTAGTAGAATATTTAAATATTATAATTACATAATATAATAATAAAATAGTAAATTAAATAACCTAAAGCTACCAACCTCCCGAGTCCAAACCATATATGCACAAACACATAAACGTATACTCCTTTCCTCCCACAAAACTTTTCTCTTTTCTTTTTTCATCCATCCCAAAAAACCTTTCCCATTTTTATTAAAAAGTCACTTTTTTGAATAAAGCACATTATATTAACTCCAAACAGTTAGTACACCCCTAGCCTCCAAACCAAGGGTTAAATATTACAGCAGAAACATGCTACTACAATATATAATACCAACATTAGTATTACTCTACTGTACTTTAATTCACTGCAGTAGCCCTCCTCTATGCCCTACTGCCATGACAAGGTTAGCCTTCAGGTTTTCAACAACACTTGCACTGGTTTCATCTTTCTTGTTATGTAATTTAGAGTTCCTTGCCTTCCACACATAGTAGCAGCAGGCTACTATACTCGAAGCAATCCACAATTTGTCCTTCCTGTTCTTTCCATTCCACATTTTCTCTTTCAATTCAGCTAATGATCTAGAGGCTAGGTCATATTTCAGCCATGAATGAAGAGCCTTATGCATAGATACAACATATGAACAGGTGCAGAAAAGGTGGTATCAATATCCATAAATCTGCTCAACCTGTCCTTGGTAAGGATTCTCCCTTTCCAGATAAGCCAAGCAATGAACCTATGTCTGGGTATGGACCATTTGTTCCATACCAAGTCATTCCAATCAACCCTTGTATGCATTCCTTTAAGCCATTCATATCCTAATTTGACATCATAGCTGGTCCTGTAGTCATGCCTTGAAACAACTTTCTTGTTTGGAGCATTTTCTTCTAGTAATAACAGTCATCTTGTTTGGGAGAGTATTCCCAAACAGTAGCCCCCTTCAAATATTTGATGTGGATCTATTTGACCCATAAGGTGTCTTTTTATTAGCTATATCCCAAATCAGCTTCATAATGCAAGCTTGGTTCCATTTCAGCAGGTTCTTCAGTCCCAAACCACCTTCTTGTTTAGGCAGATAGACTTCCTCCCAGTTGATTAGAGGGCATTTTTTGTACTCAGGGGAGGAACTCCAAAGATAATTTCTACAAAGGACCATGACTTTCTTCATTACCTTATTAGGTATCAAGAAGATCCTACTCCAAAAGCAAATAACCCCATACAATACCGAGTTAATTAGCTTAGCTCTACCTGCGTAGGACAGATTTTTTGAAGTACCTTGTTAGCTTTTCCACCAAGACATCACACTCCCTTTCACTTATCTTGGAAGCAAATATAGGTCCTCCAAAGTATGTGAAAGGGAATGTTCCTTTAGACATCTTAGTTCTCTTCAGTATCTCATTTTGGGTCTCATTCAACACACCACCCAGAAATAATTGAGATTTGTCATAGTTTAGAGTTAATCTCATATTATTCTTGAAGTGCCTTAGACTAGATAAGATGCACTTAATGGATTCTACTTCAGCTCTACAGGCAACTATTAAATCATCAGCAAACACAATATTGATTAATTTGAGGGACTTGCACCTGTGATGAAATTTAAATCTATCATTTTTTGAGCAGAAAGAAAAGGCTCTTGTTAGGTACTCCATGACAAGGGTGAAGAGCAAGGGGGATACAGGATCTCCTTGTCTAAGACCCTTGCTTCCCTTGAAGTGGCCAAAGACTTCCCCATCTATCTATATTCAGTATGCTGCACTTGTCACGGAGAACTGGATCCATGTAACAAATTTCTTTGGGAATTTTAGAGCTTCCATGATCTGAAACAACCCCTTCTAACTAACTGAGTCATAGGCTTTCCTTAGATCCAGTTTCATTAGGCACCTGGAGCTGATGTGTCTTCTGTTGTAACCGCTAGCTAGCTCCTGGCATAGAAGGACATTATGTACATGTTCTCTCCCCTCAATAAATGCACCCTGATTAGTGCTAATTTTATGGGGAAGGACCAGCTTTAATCTGCTGCATATAATTTTGGAGATCACCTTGTATATCACATTGCAACATGCAATAGGCCTAAAATCATTGGGGGTTTCTGGAGTATCAATCTTGGGAATGAGGCAAAGGTTGATATGATTAATTTTCTGTAGAGTTACTCCCTCCTTAAAGAAGTCCAGCACTGCTTTAGTTACAAGGTCCCCAACCACCTCCCATTGATTTTGGAAAAAACCACTACTATAACCATCTGGGCCAGGACTATTGCAGCTAGGGATATCTAATATACATTTCTTCACTTCCTTAGCAGAGATAGGGGCGATGAGGCTGAGTTGATGATCAATTGTTAATATCCCTCCTTCATTAATAATGTTCTGATTAATGTCTTCAGTCCATTCTGTTCTGCCAAATAATTTTTGAAAGTAATCAATCATGGTTTGTGCCATACCATTTTTATTATCCACCACCTGACCTACAGAGTTCTTAATGGACCCAATATGATTATTAAGCCTTCTCTTTTTAACCCAGGCATGGAATAATTTGGATTAATTATCCCCATCTTGAATCCATTCTTGTTTCACTTTTTAGATCTTCATCAGTCTTGCTGCTTTCAAGCTCCAGTTCAGTTCCTTTATGGTCTCCATCTCCCTTTTGATAGTGACTTCACTAGTATCACCTCTTTTAATTGCATCATGAATTTGGAATAGTTTCTCCCTCAATAAGTTACATTGTTGGAAGATGGAGGAGAACCTATCCATATTAAGTTTTTTTAGGCTTGCCTTCAAGTTTTTAAGTTTTGAAACTAATTGCCACATATGCCTTCCTTCCACTTCAAGGCTCCAGATTCTTCCCACAATACTAGGAAATTGAGGGTCCAGTGTCCACATGTTGCATAATTTAAAAGGAAAGTTACCCTTCCCAGCCTTACACTCTCTTAGAATTAGAGGAGAGTGATCTGATAACCCTTCCTCTTTAACTAACACCTTTGTTTCAAAATTCATATACTATTCAACATTAGCCAATGCTCTATCTATTTTTGAATAGATCCTTTTACTAGACCTTTGTCTGTTAGACCAAGTATATTTAGGCCCTTCACTAAGAATCTCATCAAGCCCACATTCCTGATTACATTGCCTAAATTCTTTGGTTTCATCCCAAGATACAGGATTACCACCAATTCTTTCCTCCATATCCAACACACAATTAAAATCCCCCATCACACACCAAGCCTTAATACACTTTGCTGCTATATCCTCTCAAGATCTTTCCATAGAGCTACTCTTCTAGCTGCCTCATTATGTCCATAAACAAAAGTGATGAGAAAACCCCTATCCTCATTTAACCATCTGCACCTACAATGGACCCATTGATCAAATAGGTCCACAATAGTAACACTAATCTTATTTGGTTTCCATAATACCCAAATCCTGTCCAAAGGATGGGCAGTGTTATTAATGAAGGAGCTCCACCCCTGGCATACCTTCCCTTCAATAGCCTTGAAGTTATTTTCCTTTATTTTGGTTTCCAGTAATCCACAAAACTCAATATGATTCTTCTTCAAGAAAAAGAGGACTTCCTCTTGTTTATTGGGACTATTTAGTCCTCTGACATTCCAGCAACCAATCATTTTAGGAAGGGGAAATGCCCCTCATAAGGGGCCTTTTCTAGCAATTTCTATAAACTACTCATAAAGTGCAGCAACCAATCATTTTAGGAAGGGGAAATGCCCCTCATAAGGGGCCTTTTCTAGCAATTTCTATAAACTACTCATAAAGTCTTTTTCCTCCTTATCCAGTACTAACTTCCTGGCAGCTTTCTTCCCACTTACAAATGTAAACTCTTCCTCACTGGGGTGCCCTGATTAGGAACCCTCTGTTCATCCACCTGCTTATCCAGTTTGGGAATTTCTTCTTTCTCTTCTTCATCATTTCCTGTAGTAACATCTCTCTGCTTATGTCCCATCTTTTTACAATGAGAACATATACAAGGATATCATTCATATTCCACTTTTTGGGATATTGCTCGACCTATCTCATCAATGAAAACTATCTCATGTGGGAAATCTTGATGGACCTTAACTTCAATTTGGATCCTAGCATAAGCAAACTTAGTCTTCTTAGCAGTTGCTTTGTCCCTTTTGACTCGCTTTCGAATCAAACTGCCCAGTTTACTTAATCCAGACAAGCTCCAATACTTAACATCCAAGTCTGGGAAGAGGACCCAAATAGGAATATTTATCAATTCTTCAAGATTAATCTTCTTTTCAGGTTTCCACTGCTGAACCAAAACAGGCTTGTTATCAAAGTAGTAATACTTCCTTTTAATAGCTTCCTTCATATCTTCCTATTTTGAAAATGTCACTATAAACTGTTGGACATGAGTTCAAACCCCTTTATTATTGTTTGAATATTTTTTGTTTTGATAAATGACAAACAGGATGATTAAATTCAATCGATATTCGAAAATTTATTTTTCGTATCGAGAAAAGCAAAGAAGGGTATCAAGAAGTTTACGGCGATAAAAACCGACGATCACCCCTACGCAGGTTTTTTTGAAGTGAAGTGAAGACTCCGAAGACTTTTTAATTTTTATTGAGTCTAGGATTCTTGTAAGGATGACAATAATTTTTGCATAAACAAATTAATTTTTTAGGGATAAAAATTATTATTTCTTGAGTCAGTTGAAAAATTATTTTTTCTCTGTCTAAAAATATTTTACTGAGTCAGTTTCAAAATAGTGTGTCAAAATTTCTTAAAATACTTTTTAAGGATACAAAAATCATTTGTGGTAAGAAAAATATACTTTAAAGATTTTTCTTGTACATCGTTTGACAAACAAAATATTTTTGGGACTCAATTTCTATACAAAAATTCAAATATTTAATTCAAATTTTGAATTTGAATTAACTCCTTTCAACCCATTTGATTTGTTTGTTTATGGGAGCCTTATGATATTCAAATCTTGTCCTAAACAAAGCATAAGCTCCAAATATCCATCTCACTCGCACACATGTCTTGGGTCATCATGTTTGAGGGTTGTTCGTAACTGGATCGATCATCGTGTTTTTGCGCTCAGGGATTTGGATCGATCCATTTCCCTGGATCGATCCGCCGAAGGCTTGCACAAATCCTTTTCCTGATTTTTAGTTCCAGAGGATCGATCCCCTGCCATGGATCGATCCCCCGTGCTTTTTACACAAATTTATTTTCGGAAGTTTACTCCAGATGATCGATCTTTTGCCCTGGATCGATCCCCAACGCTCCAATCTGTCAAAATCACCTCTTCCCTACTTCCAATGGATTTATTTCTTTTAACCCTATAAAAACACTCATCCTCCTTCATTAAAGATATATCTCTTGCACTCCAATATCTTCATTGATCAATATTCAATTCTTGCTTTCATCTTTCTCATCAAATATATTATTTTGAGAGTTAGAAATATTTTATTGATTGCTAAAGATTTTGTCATCCATAGAGCTTTAATTCTTCAACACTACTTTGCTCAATTGTGTGAGCTTTCATTCTTGTGTTGTAAACTCAATCTCATTTGAGTGTTGTTCTTAAGACTTGTGTGACTCAAGTCTTGTTGTTGTAAGAAAGTGAGGCTTGTGTGATTCAAGTTCTCAAGTTGTACCGGTTTTTCAAGCACCCGTTGAAGCTTGAAGATTAGTAGGACTTTCGAGAGAGTCTCTCGGAGGACTGGACTAGCCACGAGGTGGTGAACCAGTATAAATCTCGGTGTTCTTCTTTCCCTTACTCTTTTTATTTATTCCTGCGATTTTATTATTTCACACACGCGAAAAACGCACATTCTTGA